AGAGAGGGAGGGTGAGAGAGAGAGAGGAGGATGAGAGCGAGAGAGAGAGAGAGAAAGAGAGAGAGAGAGAGAGAGAGAGAGAGAGAGAGAGAGAGACAGACACAGAGAAAGAGAGAGAGAGAGCGAGAGCAGAGAGACCAAGACAGAGAGATAGAGACAGACAGACGGATAATAGAGGGCGCTTACAGATGAAGGCGAGAGGGAGGGAGTCTGACGACTCGCTCATCTTGTCTACAGGAAGCTTCGAGTTCAGCGCCCGTATTTGGTCGTCCACCATCACTGAGACCAGTGCCGGCATGAACTTTGTGAACAGTCCCGCATCCTGCAACGCAAATCACACGCACACGTAATGTTATATATTATATCATGATTTAAATAAACAGGAAAAAATAACGAGAATAATAATAATAATAATAAATAACTTTGTGACCAGTCCAGCATCCTGCGACAAAAATCACACGCAATGTCATATATCATTAGGCCAAAACAAAATATGTGTGGTTACGGCTTCACGACCGACCCTATTTATTTCCAGCGACCCTAAACATTTTATTGTCAATTTTCTTTAAAGTCAAAAAAAATAATGAAAAAAATAAAAAATAATAATAATGAATTGGACATTTCCTGCTTCAAAAGGCACAACGCACATCCTTCGGACATGGTTCGTAAATAAAATATTTCAAGAAGATAAAATGTTTTCCCTACCTACTTACCCTATTTTTTTCGGCATGTAACGGTAACCACACATATATTTTGTTTTGGCCTTACTTAAATATGAAGGAAAAAAATAACTAGGATAACAAGTGCTGCAGAGCAACAGCACTCAATTGACGTGTACTGTAGCCGGGTATTCTTCTGATAAACTCACTGCAAACGAATCAAGTGCGCCCTCCCGCCACCGCGTTGATAGGCTTTGCTATACAGGTAGTACAGTAATAAACATATAGCTGTGTAACTTTAATGACCTCGCTATATTAACGTTATCATGGATATGCGTCGAGCGCGAGCGTAGTGGTGGTGGTGGGGGCGAGTGGAGGGGGCTCTAATAGCAAAAGCAGTTCAGTCCTTTGTTAACAGTCAACAAATCCATGTTTAACCCTCCTCCTTAGGGTCAAAAGGTTATCAGACACTTACTCTTCGCACGTCAGCGGAAAGTAGATTTCATGGTCCTTTCAATAAAGTGATAAAAATGGTAGGTCAGCGCTGAAACAAAAAAGTTTTGCACTCGGTCCGTTAGACCATGTCCTCAGAAAATGTCTGATATCTGACCTTTCCCCCACTGCCCTTTGACCTGTGACCTCCAATTTCGCGCTAGTGATGGAGGTCTTCCTCCCCATCACACTATACATCGAATATTAAGAGCGTAGGTCGAGCCGTTGAGATTTGTGCCGCAATTCCGTATTTCCTCCTATACCTTAAGTTAAGGGGGAAATATTCCCCCTCCATAGACACACCTTGACATTTGACCATTGACCCCCAAATTCGACATCCGGATTCCTTTTCGCAATCCTCCCCCCCAACGTCGCGAATATCAAGATCGTATGTCGCGCCGTATTTACAGTATTTTTCAACAAATGTCAAGGATCAAAATAAGCACATGCGTTATTGTTAATATCATGTTGATATCTTTAGTTTTGAACTTCATACTGCGGACTCAAAATTAACTTTTGAACAAGGAAGTCCAACGGACTGGACTCCCTTCCCTCAAAAATAGGGAGTCCGTTGGACTCCCTTGTTCAAAAGTTAATTTCTACCCCTGTAATGAAACGTGTGATAAATGTGCTGAATACGTAAATGTAGCTTTTCTTGAACAGCATTTCGAACGCTATCGGGGGAACAAAATAATGCGCGTTGGATGTCACTGCTGTTGCCACCATTGCGAACAAATACATCAACTGACAGTGGATAATGCAAGCCTGCTTGTAACCTAAAAGGATAAGGTAAGGTGAGGACGGCTTAACTTGATAAGGCAAGCACAGAATTTCCCCCAAATACTTACAGGAACTGGCTCTTTGTATTTCTGGCTGTCAAT